TTAAAAAAAAAAAAAAAGCGAAATTGAAACATGGCGCAACTAGGTCGGCTTGTCGCATCCGATTCTGCCTAGTAGTGCCTTGCGATCGCTCTGCTCGCCGAGTCGAACCCGCCCACGTGCGCGAGGGCGTACGGCAGACGATCCATTCGATCGGCGCCATTCGGCATTAGTACCATCAGCGCTTGTTGCACTTCCATTGGGGCCATCCTTGCTCGAGATTCTCGTTTCCACCTCTTCTTCTTCGTCGTCACTGCGCGAGTCTTCTGCATTTCCAGTACGGAGAACACCAACCGCCACGCGGACGACCATCGCGAACCAGATGATGGATAACACTTGAAGAAATAGCAGGAGGGATAAAAAGATCCACTTGATGGTGCGGTTCATGCAGATAGGACCGTCGATGTTCAAGAATGGGTAAAAAAGGTGGGTCAGTTGATCGGGGTACCCATCGTTCGAGATCATTTCGGCTGTCGTTCCGGAATAACAGCCGTAAGACATCCTCGCGGGGACCTCCTTAAAGATGGACCAGCATAGCAGAGGGTACATTATATGACGTGTGATCAACCATGTGAGCATGAAAACAACGAAGGCAACGTTGCAAGCCAGTTCGTACCCAAAGTACTTCAGTATCTTTGCCGTCTATTCATGCAGTCAGTATATTGGATCTTTAATAAGACATCGATTAAGACTTACTGGCAACAAGAGATCCACAATATCCATCAGACACAGAACTACATTAGAGACGTTGTAGAAGCCGTATATATAGGCGGAGGTTAAGAGAGTGCTGGTTATGATGTGATGGGTGAACATTTGATAGTGGTCTTTTCTCCGCTCCTCGATGTTGATGACAAAAATCTGCTGCAGCCAGAATGAAAGCTGCGCCAGGAGATACCACTTGAGCGAGCCTGAGACGCCGCGAGCAGGCCACTCATCCCAGATGGCCGCAAAATCCATCCAGTGGTTGGAGTTCGACCAAATGTACTAGATCGACAGTCAGTGTCCGGAGCAGGCACACAATTTAGGAGAATTGTACGAACCATGCCGAAAGTCCAGAAGAACGCATAGTACAGCCACATCCAACCTTGTTCAGCAAATCGAACTGAAGCTTTCCGTTTCAGTCCCGCATGCATCGCAATTGGTCGAAGAACCCAGTCAATTACAATGGCCCGGATGGCCGTAAAGGCGATCGCGGAACTAGCGACAAAGTAAATATCATCCCATCCCTGCACGTAAACGCCTTGAGAAGCTTGATAGTAAGATAGTTGGAAGAACGGAGCGGTATAAGGCCTTAAAGAAGGGTAGAGATGGTGAACGGCCAATACCATGGAAAGGATTGTCAATGAAATTCCTGTACATCAACCGACCGTTAGCAAGGACAATGTCACTGTTTGTTCTCCTCTCTAGGAGCCCACGCATAGAAATCACATAGATGGCAGTCGAAGGAGCACGCAAGCAGAACGAAGGAGGAATCCGAATCATTCATGCGTACCGATTTGATTGTCAACCACCCATTCTCGGAACGTGGTTTCTTTCACGGCAGGGCGGTGGCCTGTGGAAACACAGGCATTGAGCTCCGTGACCGATTGCGACGGCGCTTCTTTTGTCATGACGAGAAGACTCAAGTGTTGGAGGATCAAAGGATCCTAAGATGCCTAGTAAGAACGATAACTGTTCTGCACCAATGGCGGAACCAACAAAGAGGAAAATGGAAAGGACAGGGTAGAGAAGCGGGCGAGAGTGGTTCCCGACCACTGTTCCGTCGCGGTTAAGCAGTAGTTACTTAGAATCCGCGGTTCCGCTGCGGGTACCTCTTTTTGTTGGGTTTGGCTGGCCTGGAATGCCTGGAGTCTCAGGCAGATCAAGGGACGGGACCGTTGTGGAAGACCAGTCGGGATCACAAAATAAATAATATCCCTTCAAAACCAAGGGACCAAATATGTATATATGGATCGATACTCAAAAGGAAAGAGAATCAACTTCTCTTTCTCAATACAGAAGGGGAAATGAAGTAGAGAAAAAGTAGAAACAATAAAAAAAAAAAAAAAAAAGAGACAAAGAGAAAGAGAAAGAGAAGGAGATGAGGGGAGTGTTTCACAAGAGGGACGGCCCACAGCCAGTTACGTATGCAGTACTTGGGATTACTCTGGCTCTACCTAAAGACCTGAAGTATCAGGGAAGTACTCCGTACCACCACCACCAAATGTGTCATGGCACACCGCCTGTGAAAATCCATCACCTTAAGGTTCCCAACCTCCGCACGGCTTTCCCCAATGGTCGTGGTGCTTCTCTACACACGCTCTTTCTAGAGGCTGTTCCATTTCGGTTGGTCTACGACTAATGTATGATTCTTCGGGTCATCTGGTTATCTAAGGTCTAGTGCTACGACCCTGGAGGAGGAGCGATCGGTCCATCAATTGGAATTTAGGGTTTTAAAGTCCTGCACTAAAGGAAACCACCTGACCCTCTTTTCCTCTCCCAACGATGCGGAGAATTGTCATAGTCGTCGAGGATCAGCATGGACAATCGTGATGTAAATTTGGAGGTTTAACTTGCTACTCGTTTTATTCCACCATACTACTCTTTATAACGCTGGTGGGAAAATAATAATGTACACATATTTATTTGTATTTATATGGCGCATTTAAATATAAATATCTACAACAACAGATACTATGATTTCTCGTGAGGCTCAGCATCATTATCCAAGCCGACCGTCACTCCATTGACATATTCCGCCGCGCTAACACCCAACTTGGCCAAATCCACCCCTCCTTCACCAGCCATCGCCCGCGACATAGCTCGCACCACTTCTTCTTCTTCCCAGATATTAGTCGACGGATCGCCACCGTCGGCCTTAGCGGTGTCCGCGTTCATCGCAACAACTGCCCGCCAATATGCATCATCTCGGTCTTTCAGCACTTTGTCCCTGACAACCGCATTGCGAGCCACGTTCACGGCGTGGAGCTTCGCAGTGGCTCCAGACAGAGCCGACAGGGAAGAGCCCACCAACTGATCCACTTGTTCCGCTTGGGAGGGAGGAGTGAAGAAGAAACGGTGGGTGGCCGTCACATAAATCAAGAAAGAGCAGATGCCGTCAAAGATCGCAAACGCCAAGGGCCGCAACAGGGTGATCTGATGGTACAAACTCGATGGCGGGCTGATACCGGCCCGTACGGCAGCGGACGCTGACTGCACTGGATCGTAAGTGAATACGATGTAAGCATCTAGAGTAGCCAGCGCGAGGCCCGCCATCGTGAATTTGTTGCGCCAGCCTGCCGCCTCTCGACCTGCGAACGGTGCCGACGTAACCAAGCCCACTATCACCATGTGTAGGAGATGTGGAAGTATCGTGTGGAAGGGAAGATAGTATAAAAGGTAGGTGTTTATATTGTCGAGCGAGCAGAACTGACATCCTGTCAACGTTTCTGGCCCAAAACGTAGATACACCTTTCTGGCCCCCAGCGACGTGAACTTGGACCGTAGTAATATGTCCGCGTCTGTCAACGTGTTCTCTGGTCTATAACGCGCCAGCCGATTGAATACGACGTCCGTCGGGGTATTGAGGCGAGAACGTGTCAGAGCGAAGATATTTGGGCTCGGCGCATGGGGATTAAACGGTAGGCTAAGGAGTAAGAAGAAAAGAATCGCAAAGAAGAGGACATTCAGGGCACGCGATGCATTCTGAGGGAGAGCCCGAGGCGCTGGACGTGATGCTAATGCGACTCGCGTACTCCGGTAGAAGTTGACGATACGAGGTACAATGATCGGTGCGAAGAAGATCAGGAGAGATTTAATGCTATGATAGGTCAGTGTCAATAGCACCATTCCCAGATGTCTGGAATACATACGTTCCAAAGGATATCCCTAGTTCCACCATCTTTCCGATTTGTCGTATAACGTTAGCTGTCGCATCGCCCGACGTCACTTCGAAAGAGTTGAAGCTCAGGTGTCATAAACGCCCCCTTCGGTCGATCTTATCGGCGGCGGGCGCCAAGCGGCGGTTGTTATCTACCAATAAGATTCCGAGTTGTGGACAGTGAATCCATACCAGGGGCAATACATTGAAATTCCCTTGTACTTTCCACGTCAGTACCCCTTACGATGGACAGAACGGTGTAGCCATGTCCATGCATTTGGTTTCTAAGTCCTATCGTGTTCGCATGGTCCGACGATGATCATACATACCCTTATCATTTCATTGCTACGAGATCATAAGCGAAGAAGCAGTATAGAACGTATGATATTCCAAATGAACTCGGTCGCTAACTTCTTAACAACACACGCTTTATAACAAAATTCAGAGATATCATTCATCCGCTTAACGAAAGATTTTAGTCATCTGGTCCAAAGCGATTAGAATTAAACATGCCCAGACTGCATCGCCGGATGATGGGCTAAGTTGGGGATAGCAACGCCTGATGAATCTCTCGAGTATTTTGATGACGCTGCGTCGTCCGTGTTTAGTAGTCCGTTTATCTTCAGCGGAAACCGGGGCATGGCCGATTGTCTCCTTGGGATTGACTCTGTACTGTATTTTGGCAGCGTATCTTCTCGCTTCATGCAGAGCTGAAACGACCGTTGGCTGTCAGTTCGCTTGACCACCTTCTGTGGCGCAACTGCTCCATACACCCGGACATGGCGTGCAGTGACACCGCTATTGCGATCAGCGAAGACAAAGCTCTGTAATTCCGTTCGCATTGGTCAGTGTAATTACTATGCCATATCCAGTGAAGAAAGGCTTACCGCGACCAGATTAATAGCGCTCATAATCATGGCCAATATCCCAGCAGAGAGGACAATTTGCCAGAACGAGATTCCAAGGGACTCCTGGCTTGTGGCCTCCGTGTTCAAGTCGCCCAAAATACTGACCCCAAGTATCAGCAACGCCAGTGCCAGGGTGATGAACCCAGAATCCTGACCCAACAGGGGCCAGTTGTGATCAAAATAACCGCGGAAAAAAGGGAGTTCTGAGATTATAAGGATTACTGTTATAATAACCATTTAGCAATTTTATCAGGACGCTTGTTAACAAGGGAGCCGTAATCACTTACTGCTAACTCCGGCGGTCATGACATGAGATGCCGCCTCGAAGAAAAAGAAGCTGCTCAGCAGCGAGATCTTCACCAGCATCACCGCGCAGGCAGCAATGATGTCTAACAGGGCGATTATGTTCAAGACCCGAATCGCATTCAGAATCACAAACCCTGGGCCTGCCAAGGATTCTTTTAATGAAGCCATCATGAGTGCAGTATTACAATGAAGAAAATGCGCCTGTACCTGCCCGTTCAAACTTACGCAAAGCTATACCAAGGGCCTTATAGCAGTGTATTCGAAGAATGGTACTCGTGTGAGATTGTAGAGAGAAACTGATAATAAGGAAGGTGGAAGCGCGGCTGTGAGGACTGACCAGCAGCAGACTGTGTTCGGATACTGAAAGAGGTGGAGAAAGAAAGAGCGACAAAGTCAAGGTTAACCTGAGGGTTAAAGAAGAAATGAGATCAACATAACTCAACCAGGGCATTGCCTCCGGAGCCTTATTGATATGTCCTGGCGCGCCACAAAATTCAGGAAAGAACCTCAAGCGTATTGTCAGACAATGACAATAGGTACAATAGACAGGAGTCGGGCCTGAAACCCATTCAATGTTCCATTGAGCGACAATATCCATTCATCTTCGTCCTGGCACAAACTGTTGCGCTTTCTTTGTCTCTCATCGCAGCTCGGTGTTTCATTGCCTTTTCAACAGCGACTACTCGGCGCTTCCGTCGCATTTTGGTTGGTGCACCCAGGAGCATACATAGGGAAAATACAATCATTAACATTCATGCCCACATCGATATTTACCGTACTCACAGAAGCCCAAGCCTGAGAAGGGGAAATTGACTAGTCGATCACAGACGCTTCCCATGGTATTTCCCCTTCATTGTTCGGCATGCGACTCTCATCGAGTCCCATCACTAAGCTGACTAGGAAATACAGTAAAGAGTTAAGCGCCCACTCCATTATTTATTTTTAGGACTACTTTGCTACTAACCTATAGGATTACCATTGAAACGATGCGGGATGCTTTCTTGCAGGTGCATTAGGGCACTATGTGTTCACCCAATCACCCATTCGATCTAACCGCCCAAAAGGTAGCAGTGCACCTATACCAGCGTAGCTCGTTCTAATCTGAACCAACCCAGTCGATCTTCAGGGCTGTCTAAATTAACCCCTGACTATGTTCACAATAAAATTTTGCTTCTTATATTCGGGGGTGGCTACCTCGCTCCTCATTTTCTGTGTGTATTAGCCCTCCCCCATGAGCGCTGCTGCACAATAATACGATGGTATGTTCCCACAAGATGCGCTCTACAGTCATCGTCAATGAAGCCCTTATTGATCTGATTGTATACCAGTCCAGAAATTTTCTACATACCCTGGTCCCTGGCAACGAGCCAAATATTGAGTAGGAAATCATGGTCAAAGACAAGTGGATAGATAGCCCACACAACAGTTAGTGTCGTTGCAGTCCATGGCCTTAACCCTAAGAACAAGACGAACCATGCGGAGAGGAAGGGAGTCTAATGGGAAGCTATGGCTCCGGGACTTCCTCCCTAATCAGGTTCCACGCGCCAGCATAATGCTCTTCGGTTATATTTCCAAATGTTAGCATTGAGTCTTCTTCGGCTGGCGTGCGAGAGCAGGCGCGAAATCTTCTCATTCAACTAAGTCTAGAGAAAAATGCTTGTGGATATCGGCCTATCCTATTTATTGCTCATAGTCTAGGGAGGATTGTAGTAAAGGAGGTATTCAATCCATGCCATGTCAAAGCCCACGCAAAAGCTGACACCAATAGTCGCTCGTGCAAGCGAGACTTGGTATGTCATATGGAAATATCAGTGAATCAACGATTAGCATAGCGTTTTTTGGGATCCCTCATCCAGGATCTTGGTTAGCACCTTTTGGGGATGTATTCGCTAAAGTTGTGAGAGCTATCCTAAGGAATCCGAGGAATACTTTTATGAATGCTCTCAAAAGCGACGACTTGTATGCCAGGGAAATATCGTCGAATTTTCAACAGCTACTTGAAAACTACCGATATCTGAATTTCTGTGAGACTTTACCGTTGAAGAACTTTGGACTGGTGTGTTTGCTGCCTCGTGCTACGTAAATTGTAATGTTTGGACACTGCTGATCACGAATCCATTTGCAGATTTGCGTGCGAAGATGATGATGACTATAAGCGTGTCTCTTCGCTGATTGCTGAGCTTGTAGCATCAACAAATGTGCCATCATTGAGAAGCTTCAGTACTCCAGGGTCTACATACGTTGCTGAAGAAGTTGACGCGAACTATTGTATGTCAATCAAGATATTGCAACGGGTGCTAATACCAAGTCTTTGCGATAGTAATTCTACCGTACTCGCGTAACCCTGGATTTGTTGGCCGGGAGCCTATCTTTGAGAGTCTGAGGGCCTGTCTTGCTTCATTCGGATCGTTTCATAACCGAATCGCCCTATATGGACTTGGGGGCGTTGGGTTAGTTCCGATATGACACGATCCCTGAACGCCAGACTAACTGTAACAGAAAGTCTCACGTAGCTATCGAATTTGCCTACCGATTTACTACAGAGCACCCCCGGGGCATCTGTATTTTGGGTCCATGCCAGCAGTATCGACCGTTTTAAAGAAGGATACTGTGGTATTCTTGACGCATGCGGGTTTTTTTCCGAAGCAGATAATCGAGATTCTGACAGGGCGATGCTTGTGGGAGAGTGGCTAGAGGAGTAGCATCATGAGTGGCTGCTCATCATCGATAATGCTGACGAAGCCTCGTTGTTTACTTCCGAGGGCAATATCAAACGGGGTAAGATGGGAACAGCAACGCAAGCACATAAGCATCTATCAATCTTGGATTACCTCCCAGATTGCTCCCATAGCTCAATCAACATCACAACTCGAGATCGTGGGACAGGGCTTAAATTCACCAAAAGTTGCGCGCATAATCTCATTGAGGTCGTCCCTATGACGAAGGCAGAGTCAGCATACCTTATCAAATCTTCAGCGACCGAGTAGTGTCCTGAAAACTCAGAAGTAGACGAACTTACTAAATTACTCGAGCATCTGCCGCTTGCGATAGTACAAGCTATGTCTTTCATACAGGAGAATTCACTAATGGTGGGTGAATATATCGATTTATACAATGACAGCGGTGAAACTCGGATGGATTTACTCTGCGAGCCATTTGAAACTTTAGGAAGGGAGACGGAGGTCCCAAATGCCCTTGCTACGACGTTAATGGTTTCCATTAACCACATTAAGCAGCGAGACACCAATGCCATTGAAGTCTTATCACTGCTTGCTTTCCTTGACCAGTACCATATTCCTAAGAGTTTACTCCAAAAAAAAGTGAAGAAGGCACTAGATCTCGTGAAGGCCCTAGGCACATTGAAGGGTTTCTCTCTTATCACCCTTAGCAGGGACAAAGACAAATTTTCGTTCTATCGGTTGGTGCAACTACTGATACGTAAATGGCTGATAATCGAGGACGACTTTGAGGAGAAAGCCGTTCAGGCCATGGATATCCTTGCCGGGGCGTTTCCTAATGCCATTTTTGAGAATTAGAGTATATGCGGAACTTATTTGCCTCATGCCCAGTCAGCCCTCAGGTCTATTCCAGAACTGCATGAAGAGGGCTTGAAGAAGAGAAGGTTATATCTTCAAGAGGGAATATCTTACTACCTGTGGTCACAGGGCCGCTGTAATAGGGCCGAGCAACTAGATCTTCTGATATTGGAGGAAAAGAAGCAGTGCTTTGGTAGGGAACATCCAAAGACTTTGGAGAGTATGGCCAGCCTGGCATCGACATATCAGGACTAGGGACGGTGGCCAGAAGCAGAAGCATTGGATATGCATATTGTCGAGACAAGGAAAAAGCTGCTAGGGCCACGCCACAATCTTACTTTGATTAATATGGCAAACCTAGCCTCGGTCTATTAGTACCTTGGCCAACTCCCAGAGGCAGAGACTCTGAGAATGGAAGTTCTAGAAGAGAGAAAGTCAATCTTCGGTAAGGAACATGGCAGCACAATCGACGCTATGGCTAGCCTAGGGGCTCTCTACCTGTTACATGGCTCAGCGCCGACACCATGGCTCGGTTATATAAAGCTCAAGGAGAATTTCAAAAAGCAGAAGACTTGAGCATCGAAACAATTCGGACAATCCAGAGCGCTCTAGGGCCGAGTCATCCCCTGTATCTCCAAAGCAAGAGCAACTTGACAGGAATTTATACAGAAATCGGAGAATGGGACAAAGCAGAAGGACTACTCATACAGGTATAAGAAGAAGCTGGAAAACAGGAATCGGTTCCATATGATATGCTGGCCAGAAAACATAGACTAGCGACGATATATTGGAACAAGGGACTCGTGAGAGAGTCCGAAAATCTCGAAGGGGGGCTGTTCAAAGAAAGCATTCAAAAGCTAGGTCAGCACCATCCTCTCACGTTGAAATGCAAATACTCTGTGGCAGTGATCCTAAAGCGTCGTGGTCGAGAAGCAGAGGCAATCCAGTTGTTGGTCGAGACGACAAATGACGAGGAACAAGTACTGCGGCCATTCAACGAGAACGCTGTGGCATCTATCGGGACATTGTCGGAATGGTGTGGCGCAGACAAGGCTATAGGCATGCTTCTAGAAGCTCAGGAAGCCCGGAATAAATATTCCCACGTCACAGAGGGCTGGGAGTCTATCTTGAACCTCCCTCAACAGAGGGAATTGAGCTGATGCTGGATGAGATATACTGGGCCACCATTCAAAAGGAAGCTCGTCAGTTATATATAGTATATTAGATTTAGAAGGCCCCTCATGTTTGTCCCAAGAAACGAAATATCTCCTTTGTAAAGACTGAGGCTCCTAACTAATGTAATTGTCCACGTTGAAATAAAAATCTTCCGATAATTGTACATTGTTAGCTACTAGTAGTAATGTTGACTTGGTGTTCCCTCGGCGCGGATGCCTGGTGGCTTTGCAGACTGTTAAATAGGATTAAATGGATACCGGCGGAACCTTCCACGACCCTTGTACTCTCAAAAGTGCTACTTGATTAGATATTGGAAGTTCCTAAAAGCAAACCTTTTTTTTTTTTTTTCCTTTTGAAACGCCCCCTTTTTCCCCCCCATCCCACTCCATCCCACTCCATCCCACCAGCCGCCGCCGCAGACAAGGAATAAATTAAACAAAATTAAGAAAAGAATTATATAGTCATAAACAAAAGGGAAGGAGCCAAGAAGAAAAGTTCAACGTTAATCAAGATGACCCGCGGAAACCAGAGAGACCAAGATCGCATCAAGAACCAGAAAAAAGCACAGAAAAAGGTAACCGACACTTTTTATACACGACTTCTCCCCCAATAGTGTCTATCTTCACTGTTAGGTTTTCGCTAACGCCATATTCCCCCCCGTCTAGAAAACAGCCAACTCTTTGTCTGGGACGCAATTCCAGCAGAAAAAGGAGTCGGATGCTGAGATCATGCGAAGGAAGCAAGCAAATGGTGAGTATTTTTCAATTTGTTCCCCGGTGTCGCACAATCCGCCGACAGTATCATGCTATTTACCTATCACTTGCTAACTCCCGGTACTTGAAATTAGCCGACGCATCGAAAGCCGGATCCGATAAAAAGAAATGACCAGCATTGGCTTGAATCCATCGCATATACCTCCCCCCTCCTCGCTTCAATGAACGTCTTCCTGTGGCATATCCTTCGAGCAACGTCCGCTTTTTTGGATCATAACCATGTTTGTCGGAGCGCATGTGTTTGGAGACATGCCATATGTTGAGAGATGTGACGGGAATGATGGATCTATGCGGGCTATCTTATACTATATACTGGATTCTATACAGGGAAGTTGGAGCTATTGGCGCATATTATTATAGCATTATATCTAGCGAGGCGTTATTCGAACGCTGAGGAGTTTCTATTCTTCGTACGCAGAGCGATGTATCACGAAGGCACGAGAGATTATATTAATCATACCTGTTGCTTAAAAGACTAAGGGTTTCGACATTTGATGGTGTCTGTGGCTTGAACGTGGGTAGCGTGTTGGTTTTCTGAAACCTATAATTCTTTTTTGACAACTTAATTGTAGCCATCCCAGTATTTTCTCGCCATGGTCAGCCAATATTTCCATGGTCGCATTGGCAGAGCTGTATTCCTCATCGATTCATCTTGAAACGTGGAAATAGTAGTATAAGAGGTCCCCGGAATCCTCTGCAGAGCATTGTAGACCGTCTCCTCCAGACCAAGCGACTTAACAGACTGGTCCACAAAGGTCCAGAGGCTCTCGCCTTCCCACCCGACATCTAAAGCGTAGCGGACGACCTTGTTAACAGTACTGGCATGAAGGTTTCCTTTCGGAACAGCTTTCAGAAGATAGAGCATAAACATCCATCCGGATATATCCGACGGATGGCCCAAACACCAGTGCAACATCAAATCAATAGTCGACTCAGCTAAGGAAGAGGGGCCTTCTCGGGAGCCTTCTGTAGCATCGGAAAGGATGTCGTGCACTTGTCTCATATAGTTAAAAGCATAATAGTTCCGTGGGTGTAGCTCTCCGGCCCGATGAACGATGGCTAGCTCAGATTTTAACAAGTCGACACTACTCTCTTGGTGTTGGTTTGTTTCCTCGGACGGGTTGTCGAAGTGTAGTCGTCTCGCTCTCGCCTCGCGTATTTCGAGTAACCGACTTAGTACCCATAATCGATGTTGCCATAACGTCGGAGATTTTGTATGCCGGTGCAAGGGCGAACAAAGATAAGTTGTCATCAGAGTGAGCTCAGCTTCTAGCGCTTGGATAAATGGCCCCGAATCGTCGGAGGAAAAATCATGGTGTCCCTTGAGGGCGTCCAGGCGCCCGCGTCTCCAGTTACATGCTGTAAGATGCTCGCAGTCGAATAACAGGATTATTTCTGTTGAGACTAAAAGGTCCTCGAGGATCGCGTCCGAAGAGCCGTGAGTTACGCTCCCATTCTCATTCTGGGGTATTGTACGTGGGGTTCCGCATTCGAATTTGGACCTTGACTTCTCAAAGAATATACGTCTAGCAGTCACAAACGACTGAACCAGGTATTTCTTTGTAATACCTACGGAGCATTCGTCTTGAAGGAGGGGACCAAGCGTTGGCGGGAGAACCTCGATCTCAAGAACGCGGTTGTTTCTGGTCGCAAAGATCCGGGCAAGTTCTTGGAACGCATTGTCTGAGGTGGACATTGGGGTGTTTCAATATATCCCATCACTAAACAAGTCAACTGTCATTTACCATGGCGTTGACAATGGCCTTGTGTGTGGTAGTTTCAGGCGGCTACAATCAGATGCTGTGTTGAAAGGCGGGCAGAAACACCGCCGGACGGATTTATGGGGCAGAAACGAGAGAGAGGCCAACATGACAACGTCATCCAAGTTACGAGAGTTCATTGTTCCACAACATTTCCGACTACGTGTCCAGCTTCTCCTTTTCACTCTTCTTCAACTTGTTCTCCTGACCTAACCTGCTAATTGGGGTTTTCGTCATTTTGAGATCGCACGGGGCAGGTCTAATTATCTCTTCAGCGCAGGTGGGTGCTGTGGTCTCCCACAAATCCAAAAAAAAAGTAGCTGTGCAGTCAGTTCCTTCTGCCAATCGTACATTTCTACCACGGCCTAAATTACACACTTCACGATGTTATCCCTGATCTGGACGATCCTTTTCCTCCATGTTGCCATCTACGTGGTGAATACTGCTGGCGCAAGCACGATTGATAGCTTGGTACGTCCTAATGTTTCCTGATCAAGCTACACCCAGTCACACGGTTCAAGCCACTTCAACTGCTACCTTGATCAATTGTCATTGACTGACAAGGCTTTTCACCTCTAGCTATGGCTCCTCTACCTGAAATTGCCCACATCAACTTCGAAGAATGCGCGGGAACAGAGCCGGTTGAAGCGCGAAGCCCTCGAGTTGAAACGAGACATGAACAACACCAGCTCTCAGGATGAGTTCGCAAAGTGGGCTAAGCTTAGGCGTCGACATGACAAAACTATGGATGAGTACGAACAGCTGAGTATGTGATGTGCCTACCGCCCTCTTGTCTACATTCTCGTTGAGCCATACCTCCATAATTAATGCTGAGGCTGACTAAATATACCACACCTACAGACAAAACACTTTCGGCACAGAAGAGCTCCTTCGACTGGAGTGTCAAGATCGCCCGGTGGCTTAGCACGAACGGCTTGAAAATCTTCCTTCAATTCTGGTACTCGAAGACGCCTGTTTTTGCGCTCCCGGAAGCGTGGATCCCCTACTACGTGCAATGGATTCTGTCATTCCCCCGAGCTCCTATGGGGTCGGTGAGCGTTCATGTTTGGAACAGCGTGTGCGCGACGGCAGTTACGGTTACGGCGGAGATGGTCACATCGATGTTTCTGCAGAACGGACGACCTACTCCGGTTGCTACGGCTCAAAAGACGCAATGATTGACGGTTGCCATGTTACATATTATGGATTGCATGAGAATGTAAAATAAACCAAGAGTTTATTCTGTTAGAATAAAATGATATCTATCTAATAGTGTACAACAATGATGTTCTTCAGATATGAAAACAATCGTTTATCGTCAACAACCCCTTACCGTAGTAGGGATTTCAGGGCTTGACTCTATGATTGGTATATCATCATGCGAACAGTGCAAGAAACAGCAAAACGAGATGTAAACAAGGGAGTCCGACCCCTGCGACAGGGCTTCTGTGCTCGGCTCGATGTGAAGCCAACAAGGTGCACCGCTTTACCATAAGCTACAGACTCTGGAAGATAAAAAAAAAGAAGTGAACTCCTCGCCTCAAGAATGAGCCCCATTGAGTTACCCAGTCCCTGCAAGGGAACCAGGCAATCGCATGACTATCCAAACACGACGAATGGCAACCCAGATAAACCCCTCTCCGGCACCCAGCTATACCACCATTGTTTCCACCGTGGAAGGCGTCGGATACAAACAAGATAACGGGAGGGAATAGGGCAGTCAGCCGCTATCGAATTGCTTCTATGGCGGCGCGTTTCCGCAATGCCTGACCGATATGAAGGTCAGGATGTCCGGGGACTTTCTCCCAAAGCCATTGCCTCTCTTGAGGAGAGGAGAATATCCGGCTAAGAATATTCTGTGTGTGAGCTTTGAATGCGATCCTTTGAGCGAGAAGTTGGAAAGAGAAAGAATTCGAGAGCGAAAAGTTCCGCTGGGGCTTTTTTTCTAGTCTTTCGGCTGATCGAAGTGGTTCCACTAAGCCTTCTGTGGGCTAGCGTAGCCACGTGACTTACATCCTGGAGAGCCAATGATGTCCTCTACACTGTGCCGGAAATTGTATGTGTCGGACTGTATGTAGGAAAAGGAAGCGTTGCTGGAAGATATCGCCATTATTCTTTCAAGTATTGGAAATCTTAACTAATGTGACTTAGAGTAGGAATATAAAACATGTAGCCGCTTTTTGTCCCATGGCAATGGAGAAAACATAATTTATGCTATGAAAGTTACAAAGAATGTTAATCTGGGATTTACGCCTTGGTCTTGGTCTTTTTCGCCTTCTTAGCCTTTGCTCCAGCCTTGGTGGCAGGCGAAGCAGTTGCTGCAGGAGTCTCCTTCTTGGGTTGCTCCTTTGGTATCTCCTGTTCGGTTGGTTGTGCGACCTTCTTCTTGTCCTTCTTAGATTTCTTTGGGGTATCATCAGCAACCTTCTTCTCCTCCTCCTTTGGGGCTTCAATAGCCTTGGCAGATTCTTCGAATACTGTCTCCGAAGCCTCAATCGTCTTATTCTCTTCCTGCTGAATGGGGACCTCGTCGACACTCTTCAATTGGGGTAATTCGAGCTCGTAGCCCAGAGCCTTGAGTTTCTCAGCCTTGGCGAGTCGTCTCTTCTGTTCGCGATCGATGCGCTCCGACCACTGCTCTCTGGTCTTGGCCTTGTCCAGTCGCTTCTTCTCAATTCGGTTCCAGGGGGTCCGCTTAAACCGTCTGTTGGCGCCCTTCCAGAGCTCTGAGTGCAATTGTTCCTGGGGTACGTATTTGCACTTCAGGATATGACCATACATCAGATAGTTATCCATGGTCGCCGCGACAATCTTCGCCACGGAGGTGGAAGTGAACTCAATGAAAGCGTAATGCTTCGAGCGGCCGGTAATGCGATTCCGAGAAAGACGCAGACGAGAGATTTCGCCGAATTGCGAGAAGTAAGCTTTCATCTGATGTTCGTAGAAACCGTGTGGAATGCGTCTGTAAAATGGCTGGTTAGACCCAATTCACCAATAAACGAGTAAGGGCTGGAATACTCACCCGACGTATACAGTACCTGGCTCTTCTGCCTCTTGTTTGTTTTCCTTCTGTTTTTTCAAGATCTTTCTCTTGGCCTTCTTAGAATCAGGAATCTTAGGAACCGGTTGGTCGGGGTTAAATCCTTCATCGCCGGACTCGTCCTCATCCCCGCTGCTCTCGAAGCCCTTAATGAGCGCGGCGGTCCGGTCATCCTCTTCCTCATCTTCACTAGCGCTAGCACCAGATGCGGCAGACTCTTCATCGCCTATCTCCTCATCGTCCGACTCTTCTGCGACAGGCTCTGGTTTCTTGGCCTTGGTAGTCTTTGCCTTGGGAGCGGGGGCTGCTGTACCATCCGCCTTCTTAGTCTTCTTGTTGCTCAACTTCTTCTCTGGCTCGGCCTTGGTCTCAGGGACATCCTCCGATTCGCTGTCGTCGTTGTCGCTGAGGAAATCGGCAGCGCGCTTGCGAGGCTTGGCCTGCCTTGTCGGCTCGCCATTGACCTTCAACTTTGTGGCAGGCTTCTCTGCACCACTTCCCTTGTTCTTCTTCAGAATAGGCTTGGGGCTTGCATTTGTGGATTCGGCGGGCTTGGCTTCGACCTTCTTGGTCTTCTTTGCGGGCGAGTCGGCGGCGGCAGTAGCGGCGGCAGCTGTGACATTGTCAGTAAGTGGCACGGGAACCGATCCGGAAAAATCTGAGCGAAATAGAAGAACAACATACCCTTGCGCTTCTTATCCTTCTTATCCGGGGCCATTATGGCATGTAATAATAAATTGTAGGCTGTGGTTGAGCACTACAATCCAAACCTGTTGATAGTAAGAGGGTGCGGAAACTTTTTTTTTTTTTTGCACGTATTTTTTCTTTCTTCCGACGGGACGCCAAGCGGTGAGCTTCCGTCTCAGTCTTAGTCTTATCGATTTACTAAGTAAACCTCCCTCGCCTTTCACTGGCAACCACAACAATTCGCCGTAATAAAACTGCTCTTATTTCCCTTTTTTGTTTTAAAGTAAAGCGGATGCCATGGGGAAGAACAAGAATGCGACCAAAGCACTGACACAGGAAGAAATCTGGGACGACTCTGCGCTCGTCCAGAGTTGGGACGAAGCAGTAGAAGAATACAAGGTACCTTTTGCTCCCTCTGAAACCCGGCGCACGTGATATGCACCTCTAACAGACCACCGAATAGCTCTACCACAGCATCCACGCCAAAGGGGAAAATGTCGAAGATGTATTGAGGGATGCTCAAGAGGCTGAAAATGGACAGGTAGTCCAAGGGGATGGTCAAGGAGTAGTCGACGAAGATGACCATATGGAGGCCGATGTTGACGAGCCGGTAATCGATCCAGTAGCGGCATCCTCTGAGGCTCAGAACATTCCACGGGCGGATGTCTCGCAAGTATGTGGTCGTAGCTACACCTAATTTATGACAAGGCAACTAAATTTTACTATAGAGCACAGCCAGCCCAGACGTTCCTGTTCAAGGAACGAATCACACGGCTGGGCCCAGTCCTATGGCAGCCGCCATGCCTCAGACAGTGTTATCCCAAGGTGAGAGGGTCTTGCATCCATATGCCGTTATATAAGCTGACTTTATGTATGTTTTAGTTCAAGATGAAGGACTGAAGAATCTTATGATGTCCTGGTACTTTGCGGGGTATTACACTGGTCTTTACGAAGGGCAACAGAGAGCAAACCAAAATAAGAGTTCATGACCCATTTCTAGCTGCAAGTGATGGGCAACTTACTATCTCACTATCAAATCAAGAGGTGACATCAAACGCCACTGCACCCACCTGTTGCCCCCGCAGGCGACTATTCCAGATGCCGCGGTCTGCGAAGCTCAGTTGGTCATACTTCTGGGTGCGTCACCGGGTTAGGGAACATGACTCGCCATACCAGAGGCCTATTTTTCTTTATTTGGAGGATTCCCAGATGTGTAAGTGATGTACTATATGTGTATTCTAGGGTCCCATGTGTGGTCTGCTTGGTTCAAGCAGCTATTGGCAGCAACTATGTATGATAATCCCTACTTATGCTGGAGGCCAGCCCTATACACAAGTCTTCAGAACCATAATCTCAACTTTCATGTTTGACCTTTCGCCCGTGAGCTGAGCGTTATAGCAGAATTTCAACAACCTCCTGCAGGCAAGGAAATGCGCCCGTACGTTAATCAAACGGGTTATTAAGTTACTCAAATACATTGCTACATCAAACAGGTTTTCCAATAGGGACTAAGCACATATTAGATTGTTCAGCTTTTCTTCACACGGTATGTCAAGGAGCGTTTACAGACTAAGGCAAAGCCCAAGTAGTCGGTTAGAAATCGATAGCTAGAGATTTGATTAAGATGTATGGATGAAGTGTTCAAAAAAATGACGCCTAACTTGCTCCAACAACCCTGGATCCAATACAGTACCTCCCGGTCCAACATTTACAGCAGCACTTTGCCCAGGACAGGGCCGACGACAGGAAGCTTAGTGATAGCGTCTTCTTTATGAACAGAGCTAGAAGCGGCTGGAGCTGCAGAGGAGCTGCTGGCGGGCTGCTGCTTCGTGGGAGTAGGAGTGGGAGCAGGCTCGTTTTGCTTTCGCTCTTCCGTTGGAGGCTCTGTCTGAGCGTTGGCTTTCGGTTCTGGTGAGGATGAGGGCTCCTCGAGATCATGCACTTTCTGTGCGGTTTGCTCTTCGTAGTTGTCCTTTAGGGACTTGGTTGCTGATCCACTGCTGGAAGGCGTGGGAAGAACAGAGTGGGTATCGATGGGCGTGGGCTTCGGCGTCTCATCATCGTCATTGAATTCTTTATTCATCTCCTGCGCCATGTGGGTGACAGACTGGGTCCTATCAATCACCGGTCCCTCAGGCGTATTCAGCGTATATCTCACCTTCACCGCATCGTAGGCAAAATTCGCCCTGCCGCTGGGGGCAACCTCACCGGCAGAGGAGGAAGGGTCGGCGGGCTTGGCCGGCAAAGCAGAGCCCGTAAGGGCTAAGATGAAGCAAACAGCATAGAAAGAGAGTGTAGTACGAGCCATTTTGACAACTGTATGAACTGGGATTGCAACGAGAAAGAATATCAATTGAAAGGAGTGAATAGGCCTATGGAGACAGCCGAAATATTTGTATACAACTTTCAGAGGGAACGTGCTCCAGAACGAAAGACTCACTCTCTCTATGGAAAGCGAACCGATCATTTATAGGGAAGACAGGCTATCAAGACGATAAATACACAAGGACATACATACATACCCAAGGGAGGCAACGGGGCATTTCCCAGGGTTTGCGAGGTGGATTTGCGTATGGTCTTTCTTTCTCGCGACAATATTCAAGCACCATACGATGGCAAAGCAAGGGAGTAAGGGAGCAAACGGTATGTCAAATCAACGGCATGGACTCCTGTAGTTATTTCATCATTTGATTGGAAGGTGTACGATAATTAGATTGTCAGAATACTACATTCCCAATCCTGGGATGAGAAGATCTTTCCAGATATTGCAGCTCGCCCTTGGCTGGGGTAACATAACTGGTCTGATCGACATACCCCTTGGGATCAACCGATTAAGCTCTACCGTCTGTGTCGAAGCCTGCCGCAGGTGACCGTGGAAGCCCTTCCCGCCGCCTTGGCTTTGCAAAACACGCCACAAATTTCCAAGGAGGCAGACTAGGACATGCCTTGAAAATCTTGACTACGCAATGCACATTCCGGAAAATTACAGCGACACAAGTCGGAATGTATCTCCCTACTTTGACACGTACCACCCCATTTGAAACAAAAGGTGGACGCAACACGAGGGAGCGTTTAGAAGTGGACAATGTCCACGAGTCGTTTTCGGCACGGTTTTGACCTCGAATATCATAGAGCAGTGACGGACGAGACTTCGAATATGCCTTGCTTGACTTTTTCTAAAAAAAAAAAAAGTCTTTGCGGTTCTACGAGTATATTGACCTGTTTGTTAGTCTGTGAGCGGTTTCAGTTGAGCAAGGGAAAGATCATCTTCTCTCCTGGACTATAATGAAAAAGATTGGCAATCAACCTTCCTCAAGACGGAGATGGTTGATCGCTCAACTCGATACGGTAGGACAGACATGCGTCCTCATCAAAAATCCCTCAAAAAGGGTGTATGCTCAAAGCGAACCCAAACAACCCCGGAGTCGAACCGGTTACACCGGATGGCAGGTGATGGGATTAGAACGAGCACAGATTCATTGCTCTCGGTCTCTGTCTAAAATTTGCAGACGGAACGGGAGCTTTGAAGGTCAAAACCTCCATCAACAAGGGTATGTCGGAGACCTGAAATATGTTGAAGAAAGGAAAAGCCGGCGGCAAACAAACGCCGAAATTTATTCGGTGGAGCTTGTGGGATGGTTATGTAATCTACAGCTAACAACTAACTAAATCCTACTAGCTAGTAATACGGCTGTACGATATTCCGGTTCCTTGAATAACTAATTACTTAGTTCGTCATTCTAACTATGTATACGGAGTAAACAATTTACAAATACGAAGATGGTAGGGCAAACGCAATAGAGGACTGTGACAAGGTTATCATCGCCTTTTGCACTCCACACCGACCTTGATCTAGAAACGAGCGAGAACCCTGTCCTGGGTGTCGGATAGTGCCCACTCACTGCTGTGGTTCTTACTCAATACCGTCTTTGCCTGCTCGGCTGTGAAGCCCTTGGCTTCAACAGCCGGGTTGTAGCCAAGACCGTTGATCTTTCCAACAGCGTCCGACGGCACGAGCGTCGCAACTTTTCCATCCGCTCGCTTGTAGACAGTCACGACGACTGCGCCTCCCAGACCCAGGTTGTGTTGCAGGGCGGAATCCGTTCCATCAATCAACCGGTTGTTTGCCCAACCACGCAGGTGCCACACCAGTTCCGCGCACTGCGCAAGACCCGTCGCTCCCAGCGGATGACCCTTTGAAATGAGGCCTCCCGATGGATTAATCACCATCTTCCCCCCATAAGTAATGTCGCCCCGACGGACCATCTCATGCGCCTTACCGGGCTCGGACAGCTCCAGTGCATCGATCGTTATCATCTCATTAGCGGAAAAGCAGTCGTGCAACTCGCACACCTTGATATCCTTTACATTCACGCCGGCTTCCTTAGCAGCCGCTCGGCAAGCATTACGAGACATTCCGAAACCCATCAAGTCAATTGAACTTCGGTTGTATAGGGTGCTATTGTCGGTGGCCAGCTGTTGACCCGCAATCAAGATCGCCTGGTCCTTGAGATGCGGCCGAGCATCCAGGAATTCTTGGGAAACGATGACAGCGGCAGCGGCGCCATCCGATGTCGGGCAGCACTGAAGCTTGGTGAGTGGCTCGTGAATCATGGGCGCCTTGAGAACCTGCTCAAGGGTGTATTCGGTCTGAAACTGCGAGTACGGGTTGCGCTTGGAATGCTCATGGTTGATACGGCCTATCTCGGCAAAGTCTTCGTTCTTCGCTCCATACCTATACACCATGTCAGTTAGATTCTGTAGAAACAGATAGATGGGCCGCGGAGAGCGTACTTCTCCATGTACTCCCGACCAGCATTTCCAAACATTTGAGCTGCGCCAGGAGCGTTCGTGACTCCCCTGGTCTCAGCCATCATCATTCCAAACAAGCCGGTGGGGTTCTCTCGGTCATTGTAAACCGACTGAAGGCTTCCAGGACTCATCTTCTCGAAACCGACTACGAGAACACAGTCGGCGGCACCGTGAGAAACCATCGTACGGGCCATCGCCAAGCCAGTGGAGCCCGTTGAACAGTTGTTGTTAACATTGTAAATGGGAATCTGTGTTAGACCGAACTGATAAAACACACGCTGGCCGCAGGTACTGTCACCATAGACGTAGCACGCAACCCCTTGCTCAACATCGTCGTAGTTGATGTGGGCATCCAGCATGGCCTTGACACCAGCCTCAAAACCAAGCTCATGATAGTCAACCTTGCCCCGGGGTTTGATAAATTTGGTCATGCCCACACCTAGGACATAGGCGGGAGACGTTGCTTTCTTGCCCATTGTGACGATAGGTGGTTATCGGAGACTCTAATTGATAAGGAGGGAAGAAAGGAGAGAGAGAGATAGAGAGAGAGAGAAGTAAAGTCCGTGTGGAATACTGTAGATTGACTTGAGATGGAGAACTGGGAAAACGTTGTTCATTTAAAACATCATGGCACTATTATAATAATCGGGTAAGGAAGCAGCATATGAATCCTTGCAGAATGATTTACTGCGGAGAAAGCCACACGGTACTTTTTGCGGGGAGCCGCCGACCGAGGTCCCGAGGATATTCTTTGTTCCCTTTGTCTTTGTGTACGTCCTGCACAACTCTTCATATCTCATGCCTTTCTGCTGTACGATGCAATAGCAAATTACAGCTATTGCTTTTTGCTGATCATCTCGCTTTGAAAATCAAGGGTAGTCATGGTCAAGCCTCTCCTGTTTTTCTGGTCCATCTCACATGATTGCGTTGTACATACCTAGGTCGGCCGTGAGGTTCCGAGGGTTGTACGATCAGATCAAGAGAAGTACAATGTCTATGGAATTTGATCAAAAAGAGGTATATAATTTGGTCCGAGGTCATCAAGAACTTGTTGGGCCACAATATCTTGGAGGGTGATGAGTATATATCGGGTTCGGTACCGCGGAATATTAGCCGGGTTCATGCTTTGTTACATATGTATAATGCATTCATGAAATGAACAAGAAACTTGTCCTAGTGTAATGGGGGTTGAACAAGCACTACATAGTAGAGCTAGTTCCTCTGTTCTCAGATCTTAAGGTTGTCAAGTATAAGAAGCACAGGTATGATTGAGCTTCGAAGCCGATTCCCACCCAAAAGTCCCCAATCACATGGCATATCAACTTTCCAAGTGGGGTTGGGACAGGATTTAGCTGGTAAACGTAAACCGGATCAAAGCTCACTTCAAGTTGTTAAGTTGATGATGCCCTGATATTCTGGCCAGTAACATGGGTGATGTACTGAAGGGGACCAAAGTTCGGGCAGCTGTTTGTCTCTCTGATTGCGAGTCAGATTAGTTAGACTACCTACTACATAGCTCTTACTAGTAGTGAACCTACTATTACGACACCATTCTGCGACTAGGGATGGTCGGGTCCATTACATAACCGTGGTACGGGCAACGATACACTCTGTCGATCCATAAGCTTCCTGACGGTGGAGATATTGAATGATAATCGTCAGTTGCTTTATGAGGCAATTTTGCTCATCTTAATATTTTCATGAATCGAGTAGTATTTCATCATAGACACGGACGAGGATTCTTTTTGACTTCATCATCATGAGGGGCTTTTTCCAAATACGCACGATCAAAAGAATAGATATGAAGGTTTACTCCATGACTCTGGGGGAGGGGGAGGGGGAGGGGGAGGGGGATAGGATGGCTGTCGTCTACCTATCATTCAACAAAGAATTATATACTCCGTCAATAACTCAGGCAGTATCTAGTCTAGGTCATATTCTAATGATTTGTCCCTGGCACTCACCTAGACTAAATCCGGAGTGGTCCACCCATCCTCTTCATTCCTCAATCAATCAGAGAGTCCGTTGGTTGGGCGGGGTAGACGGAGCGGGTGTTACCACCGCCCGGACTGGTTTGGTCCGATACGCTTTTACGCCCTTGCCACTGGTGGGCACTGGTCAATTTCTACCCTAAAGGGGGGGGGCAGTACCTTGACTCAGGAAGGATAACCAACAACAAAACGATTGCTGAGTAGTACTCGGGACTTAGCTGTCTTATGGTGGAAGGTAATTGGAATGAGAGAGAGAACAAAAGTAACATTCGAATCTTACCATACGCTCATTGAGTAATAAGTGGTACCTTTCCAACTAGAGTCCAGCAATGGGAGGATCGACCTCTAAGGAAAAGTAGGGTGGGTTTAGTGTGTATGGTGGAGGTCGTACTGGATGCCTCACGACGACGTCACTGGACAGACAGTCTAAACCAGTTCGAGCGAACCGACCAGTTGAAAGGGGAGAAAGATGATCCACTATTGACTGTCCTCAACCACATACCTGCTGGGATTTCTACTGCAATTGTAATTTAGCAGCTGGAACTTACCTAAATTACCACCAACTGTACTAAGTTACAGTCCGTGCCTACCGACTAAGATCATGGGCAGCTGGTGATCCCCTCAACCTTCTCCCTCTTCGATTCATCCCATTCGAGTGTGTTCACTAGCATTGGGTTTTCTTCCACACCCACCAAAGTGGAGGTCTCGTCCCTGGAGGTATGTTTGGTTTTTCTCTCTGGTTTTGCATTTGCTTTTCGCACAATGGTCCCAAGACGAAGAAAAAGAAAGACTGGGTAGAGAAGAGGTGAAATGAAGTAAAGGCCGAGTGTGGTCGATGAAGCTGACCCTATGGTTCCTTTATATAGGTAGCTCCTGAATTGCACTATTTTTTTCTGCCATCGGATTGTTCTTGAGTGTGATAGAAAAGGCACTGTGGTGTATTCTACACTTGGTCACAGAAAACCATTCAACTTCGACTGTAGCCGTGTCGGGTGTGCAGACACGAAAGACGTGGACATTGTCGCTACGGCCCTACTACTGGCCTCTACTATCGCCTCCCCTTCACTGATTTAACCACCGACATCGTCTCCCCCCGCGAGGTATCCGCACCTTCTCTCTACGGATCGAGTCCCGGAAACAAAAGGTGGTCTAGACCCCTGCTTCATGGACAATTGTGGGACGCCGAACGGTCTGCTCGCACGTTGAGAGACCGCTTTGCGTTCCATAGGGTTCCCCAGCCTGCTTCACGACATTGAACCGAATCGAACATACAAGCGACAATCAAGCAAGGCCTCTCCCATTTCGCCCCAAATGGGATACCTCCAGGGATGACTCTTGACGAACACTCTGAACATGCGCCCTTTCCTCCTTCCCCCTCACAACCTTCACCTGCCATGATGCCGACTGGTAGTACCTGGATTATGGATGAAGCAACTCGTAACAAATTCCTCAAGAACTACAAGACCCAGGTGGCCTCGGCGACTTCCACGATCTGCGCGACACTTGCTGTGGTACGTCCCAGACCAGACCAGATGTTTAAATGGAGAGAAGCTAATTGGTTGCCCCTAGACTCCTCTCGAAAATGTGAAAACTCGCATGCAGACGTGAGTGCTTAACATATCCAATAGGAATAGCTGTGCTGACCTCACTAGCCACAACTTCAAAAATGTGTTTCAGTGTGTCCGCTACTTGTGGCGAACTGAAGGACCCCGTGGCTACGTTGCCGGTACGTCAATTCTGACTTGGAATGATCAATGGTCGATAATTGACGAGCCTGCATGCAGGGGCTCTGCCACCTCTAGCGAGTGTTACAGCCGTTCGGGTTGTAAACTTCTCTACATATAACGCTGCCAAACATCGTATCTCAGATTTCTTCGAGAGAATGACTGGCCAGTCTCCTCTGGCTATGTACAATCAACCGGGCAGCACGCCTACCGTATCTACCTTTGTGACGTTCACCACTGCTGGACTAATTGCTGGACTCATTACCTCTCCGCTTGCATGTACGACTGAATAATTGCATTTCGTTACCTGAGCTTTAAATACTAACTCGAGTTAAAGGCCCCTTCGAGCTTGCTAAGAATGTTGTTCAGACCTCCGTCTTGGTGTCAAATCGTGCCCAAGCCTCGCCAGATGCGGTCAATGACCCCTCATTGCGTAGCAAGCCCCGTCTCGGCACTATTGAGGCCATCCGGCAGATTGTCAAACGTTACGGAATCCGTGGCCTGTACACCGGCTTTCATCTGCACGCTCTGCGTGACACTCTCGGGTCTGGCCTATACTTCAGTGTCTACGAAACGGTAAAGCAAGTCGCATCAAAAGAGCTTGGCCCAGACAAATCCCCATTCGGTGGTCCCATGATTGCCGGGGCAATTTGCAGCACTGTTCCGTGGTTCTGTGTAAGTACCCAACGATGATGCCTATATGTGCGTTACTAACTGTCATAGACCTATCCACTTGATACTCGAAAGACTCGCGCCCAGAGCGTGTTACTCGGCAAATCCAGCGAAGTCGGGGAGGCGTCGGCTGCGGTTGCCAAGTCCAGTATGTATAAAGGACTTTCGATTATTCTCATCCGTACTGGGGTAAACAATATGATCTTGCTCAGTATCTTCGAATACATAAAGATGAAGATCAATCAGTTGGATTGATGCGATTTCTGGGACATTAGCCGCTGTGCAGATGGCCATTGGCGTTAGGACTGCCGGAGTATGCTTTGATGATTTATATTTTATCGAGTACATATGTGCATGAGCCTGAGGCTCCACGCAAATACAGAATGAACAACTTTACTGTTAATCTGTAATACTACCTGTCGTGTAGCCACAAATTATTGTGCGGAGTGAATCTATAGAAATACAAATATCAAGTATGTGGTGCCTCAGGCCAACACACAACGTCATCCGTTGTCCGGTGGGGTTGGGTTTTCAAACATCAACAAAAGTTGCCCGGCGACGATCCCTCTCTCATTGCGCTCTTGACCGTTGCCCAGCATGACATCGTATGTGCTGTCTCTAAGGATATGCTGTTCCCGCTTGACTGTCTAGGCTAATTTATTGCTCAGAAATATCCTTCAGATCCCCTTTCGACGCTCTCACACCGTTTCATTGGCAGATGCGATCACCCAGTATATTTCGACCAAGTATGACCAGCGTCCAGATATGTTCGCAGATGATCTATTGATCATAGATCGCCTGCGGAATGAAGCGATTCACGTCCAGGAGCCGCATATTAGTGGGATCAGTCGGTTGGTCACATATGCCGCGCAGTTGAAATGGCTTGGTGGAAAGTTTCCGGTCGATGTGAGTAACGTAGCATAGCGGTGTGCGAACTGACCACAAGGCTGTTACTGACGCGGGAGTTTACAGATTGGAGTCGAGTTTCCATGGTACCCTGCGTTTGGTTTCAATACCTCAAGACCGAGTACGTGAAGAGTAATTCGGTCACTAACGTCGTTGCTGACGAGTACAAGTCTCGCAGAACAATATTCGATTTGAACTTGCGAATATCCTCTTTAACCTGGTAGCACTGTATTCACAATTAGCCTTCTCGGTGAACCGTACAACACCAGATGGTCTCAAACAGGCATGCAACTACTTCTGCCAGGCCGCTGGAGTCTTGGCACATCTCCGAACGGATATCCTTCCCGACCTTCGTACCTCTCCCCCGGAGGATATGGATGATATGACACTACAGAGCCTGGAACAACTTCTTCTCGCGCAGGGACAAGAGTGCTTCTGGCAGAAGGCCGTCAAGGATGGGCTGAAAGATGCTTCCATTGCTCGGCTGGCGGCCAAGGTCTCCGATTTCTACGCAGAAGGAGGTGACTATGCGGTCCAATCGAATGCTATTAGTCCTGAATGGATACATCATATGACAGCCAAACATCATCATTTTGCTGCCGCTGCGCAGTATCGCCAGTCCTTAGACTGTTTGGAGAAGCGAAAGTATGGTGAAGAGGTGGCTCGTCTTCGAGACAGCGAGGTGTGTGTCAACGAGGCCCTGAAGGAATCACGTTGGATCAACCGCACTGTGCTAGGGGACTTGCAGGGACTAAAGAACCGTGTGACGGAGGACCTAAAGCGTGCCGAGAAAGACAACGATGTAATATATCTCAACCCAGTCCCGCCAAAGTCAGAACTGAAGATCATCGATCGCGCATGTATGGTTGCAGCGAAGGCGCCATCTCAGGTGACCGATGCTATCTCCATGTTGGGAGACAACGGACCTTTAGGGCAGCCGCTATTTTCTAAGCTGGTGCCATATGCCGTCCATATCGCTGCCAGTATTTACTCTGATCGCCGAGATCGGCTTGTCAACGAGACAATAATCGGGGAGCTGGAGACTATGACGGACAAATTACGGGAGTGAGTGTTAAAATCTAGGTCATGGCGAGAAAGATACTAATTGGTACAGTTTATTGTCATCTCTGAATCTTCCGGGCTCCTTGCAGGCTCTGGAAAAGCCTCTTGGATTACCGCCTACGTTGGTTTCCCATGCGGAAGAAATGCGCCAGCAAGATGGTTTGAACCGGTTACGGAGGTCACTCGAGGATACCGCTAGGGTGAAGGCCAATGACAAAGCTGCATACCATGAGGGTGTTGAACTACTCGCCGCAGAAAAGGCAGAGGATGACTCTTCGCGCCGCAAATACGGAACTGACAGGTGGGCCAGAGAGTCATCCGAAGCAGCGGCATCGAAGCTGTACACCACTTCTCGAGAGATAGACGGCTACTTTTCCTCCGCTCAGAGTAGCGATAATTTGGTAGAGCAAAAGCTGAGAGACTCGGAGGCGGTCTTCCGAGTTTTGACCGGTACTAATCGAGATTTGGAGATGTACGTCCCTAGCAGCCGGAGGGCGGCAATTCCGCCAGAGGTCGAACGGGAATCTATTCGGCTACGGGGTTGCTTGAGCGAAGTAAGTCGGCTGGAGATCCGACGGAAACGCCGAGCGCAGGCTTTGAAGGACAAAGCCAAATCGGACGACATCAGTAAGTTACAAGGCTGGGTTCGAAGACCAGTACTGACAACTCTCAGGCAAAGCCCTTCTCAAGGAAGCTGCCCGCTTGGAGCGAGAGTTCCCCATGCAGGCGATCCAGGCGAGCCAGTTCGAAGATTTGTTCGAGGAGCAGCTGCATCTGTACGATACAGATCTGGAGATGGTGACCCAGGAGCAGCACGAGCAAGACCAGATTTCTGCGCAGGTGCGGGAGGCTAACCGTGCATTTACTCGGGCGCACACGGGCGATGCTTCGACCAAGGAGCGGGAGAAGGCCTTGCAAGAGCTGGAAAATGGCTATCTGAAATATAAGGAAATCATCTCAAACATCGAGGTGGGACGGAAATTCTACAATGATCTGGCCAAGATTGTAGGTCGATTTCGGGATGACTGCAAAGCATTTGTGCATCAGCGGAGGATGGAGGCAAGCCAAATAGAAGGGTGGGTAGTTCGTTTGAAAGCTCAATATTTGACTTCAAGGCGCTGACTCGAGCAGGGAGATCACCAGCGTTGCGGCGATGGCCTCACTCAATCTCTCTCAACCACATTTACGCCAGTATAGCGCCCAACCCGCCCAACCCGCCCAGCCTGTCCAGCCGGTTCAGCAACCGGCTCAAATTCCACCGCAACCGCAACCTCAACCGGTCCAGCACCAACCACCAAGGGATGAGCCACTAACTGCACCCCAACCAACAAGAGCCAACACAAGACCTTCGATGGCTCCCGGCGTGTGGTCACCCGATATGGGGATTCGATTCGGAACACAAGGGACCTGGGATCCGAGCAAGGGAGTGAAGTTTTCCTAATATATATTGCATTACTCACAATTATAGAGTCGTGGTACATCATACATTACACCTGTTTTTCTTGAGTATCATAGAACCCGCATCATAACAGCAGCAGCTTCCGCCGCCAACTCTCTTGTACATATCTTAAGATCTTCACGCAGGCTCAGGAATTGAAGTCGATCAATCCACATTTCCCAACGCCGCTTAGGAATTGTTCCAATAAGTTGCTTAGGCGCAGGCCCGAGAGATAAACCCACTGGGCACTCATCCTTCTGCCCCATTCGCTCCCACAGCTCCTCCCCCATAATAACCGCCCAAATGGCCGCTGCAGCTACAAACACATTCAACCGCGTTGCCTCATCGGCCTTCCTATCATCACCCCCTTCTGCTGACGGAAGCGAATCGTGTCTCTCCTCCAATGCTTCCCGAAGGACGACCACCCCAATGCTCTCTAGCCCCACGATTCGCTCCTTCGTAATTAGCGCCAAAAACGCCATGAAATTCACCCATCCTTCGGTCTCGATCTTGGTGAATTCCGCCCGTCGCCCGGGCTCATCCTTCAGCGCTTCATAAACCGTCTCCTCGAACAGCGGCAGCTGTCTCCAGGACAGGTCCCGGCGAGTATTAACAGGCGATTGCAGATGGGTTGTGGGCATCGGCGCCGGGTCCGGCTGGCGTTTAAGCGTCAGGAGAAGGGCAGCGAGACGGATCTGAAGAGCCGTTGGGACGTCAGGAGGCGTATGCGGCTTTTCCCGAGGGATCTTCCGGGACGTGTGGATTATTGTGCTCCATATATCTTTTAGATATTCGTCTTTGAAGAGTGTAACCAGTTAGTCTGAAAATACAAGCTATTTTATCTGTGCCATATATTGCAAGGGACACAAAAGTTTGGGAAAGAATACCAAGATCACTATCACCTCCGTAATATACCTCATTCACAACACTGACTATCTCCTGTATGGCAAGTTCAAGCGCTAATTGCTGGCCCATGTAGAGGGTGACGATGGCCGTGAAGGGTTTGGTCACGGAGCCATGGACCCAGCCGTGGTCTGTCGCTAGGGTGTCAAGGGTGTTCATTGTACATTTATTTAGGTTGGAAGAAAACTTGTCCGTGTGGATTAGGGTACTTTACTCGGGGTGATCTTATGCTACTTTCTTTTTCATTTTCATTTCGCTTCATAGATTATAGAGGGTGGTATGATGATGCTGGAATGACTATACTGGTCATGATGTCATGTCATGTGATGCTATCGGGACCCTAATTTGATATGCCGTTTATGGTTTGTATTATCCTTCGTTGATAAAAAGAAGCGAAGCTTAGATAGTATTAGGATATCTGATTGGAGAAATATTGATTGAATACGTAGTGGGTGAGGGGATGTTAGGATGAAGTCCCTCATAGGTCCTTCCCACCCAACCCCATCTATCAAAATGATATCTATCATAACATCCACAGGAAGAAAAATAGGAAACGCTCATTAATTGCCCCTCAAGTTCACCCGCATGATTTCCACATCCTCATTTGAAAACCCCAATATACCTGTCAAATAGCCCTTCACACCACCGAAAGACTGTTCAACCGTATCCAAGAACGCAACCATCGCAGGAGCCCGCACACTCATCAGCTCCAGCCACCCGGTACTCTCTGGAGTTACAGCGCCGGAGAGGGTCGGAAAGGCTGCCATTAGCATCTTTCGAGCGGGTTCGATTCCGACGCGACTCAGGATGAAGTCATGGACAATAGCGTCCGAGGGCGTATCCGCTAGCAAGAGGATTAAGGCCGCTAGGACGCCGGTACGGTCTCTACCGGCTATATTAGATCGAACCCGATTCATTAGTTACTTGCACATATATACATACATACATACATACATACATACATACATACATACCAGTACAATGAAAAAGAAACGGCCTCTGCGGACAATCCCTAATATGCAGAAAGACCTTTCTAAAAACAGGCGTCGAGATCTCCACAATACACATGAACATGTTAAGGAACCCGGAGACGCCCTGATCTTCTTCCTTGAAGTCTAGAGGGTTAGTCGGTTCCGGGTCGCGGGTATACGGTTCCCAGACGGTCTCGACGCCCTCGATGGCGGGGCTAGGCGATTTCGTCCGTTCATCGTGTCTGCGCAGGTCGAAGATGGTGGATATCCCCACATCGCGAAGGGATGTTTTGCCCTCGTCTGAGATGTTGGATAGAAAGCCGGAGCGGTAGGCGTATCCCGGGCGCAGATTGCCGCTGCTGATGTCGCGGATGTTGAAGAGTCCCTGGATGGTGACGAAGGGGCGTTGCGATGTTATGGTGGTAACTGTTTCGGGTGGGATTTCGGTTCGTATGTCAGCTGAGAGGATTTCTTGGAGATTGTAGTTGGGGGTTTGGTTGTGTTCCATTTGTGCGGTGTTTTTTTTTTTGGGTTTGTTTTATTTATGGTATTGGGGTGATAGAGAAGATACGTTAAGTGCCTGTGATGGTGGTTGTGGGTTTTAATATAGATTTACCGGAACAGTGAAGGGCTATTTATAGAAGTTTATCTTTGGGGAGGTGCGGGTCTTGTTCATGTATGACTGTGCCTTTATACGAGGCCTGGGATACGAGGGTAGGAATGTGCTCGTATAAACAATGTATGTGGTTTTAGGTGGTTCGCAGCGAAAATATGACTCAAATGAGAGAGAGGAGAGAATCTTTAGTCACACAGTAAACTAAAGTAAATGGCAGTTTTCTTCCCGAAGTACATACATATGCTCTGTGGCCTTTCTACTACAGTCTGAAAAGCAACCTTATAATCTCGACAGCCATGTTATCTGCATTGTCCCAACCTCCCATAATCGGTACCCACCGTGCAATGATCGAAATACGCCTCACAAGTCGTCCCGACTATAGGTAAACGCAGTTTGCCAGTAAACACACCGCGCATTGCATGCTGGATCACGCATCCTCGTGATATTCTCCGATCCTATACTAACCACCCGACTCTCAGGACCGTATATCTCGAGGGGCGGGGCTAGTGAAGAAGCCGGCCTTCCCGTTTGAACGAAACTCGTAATGTAGTCTTGTAGGATGAAGGCCACCGTCTCGTTTGTCACTTGGAAGAGAGGATTCTCAACTAGTGGCTTTGCACCTTTAATGTAAAATGAGTACGGATGATCCATCCAGTGCATAGCGGGAGGGATGGAGAATACGTAGGTGTAAGTGCTGTTCCTGTATGCGTGATTCAAGTAGTATGAATTGCACTGAAAGCATATGTCTGAGAGGGCGGAGGAGACTCGTTCGACCCAGCCGCGGTACCCGTACTTCCCATCCAGGATGGGCGGGTATAGAACATTGACGATGGTCTCTTTCATCTCTTCCGAGAGGTCAAGGAAGTGCTCGTCCATGAGTACGAGTAGACCCCCATCTTGAAAACTGAATGGGGGCGTGTACATGAGAGCTTCGTTTAGTGTATGACCATTCAAGATCTTCACGCTGTGATCGAACTCGCCGCCCAGTAGAAGTTTGCCCGGGAGATCAGAAACAAAGACGCCGTCCACCACGGGGCCATAGGTGAATGTTCCGTAGAGAAAGATTGATACCTGGTGGGCGTTGGCAGCAATGAGTTTTTCAGAAGATAGCTGACGAGCCTCCTCGATGGTGCTAACGTTGAGGAGCTTGAGATATTGGCGAAATGTCCATTCCTGCTTGTCTGTATCATAGTTCGGCTCCCAGGCGGGGCTTTGCAGGATGGCTTGTTGGAATAAAGAAGGTCCCTGAAGCCCTTTGTACGCAGTGAGCCGATGAAGGATGGACCCTGATCCGGCAGATACGCCCATGACAGTGACTCGATCGGCATCACCTCCGAACAGATGAATATTCTGAGTTACCCAGGTTAAGCCGAGTCGCTGGTCATGAAGTGCGGCATTGGGGGTTCCTTTCCGGGATACTGTGTGACCAGCAAGCCAGCCAAATGCACCGAGCTATGAAGTTGTAGTCAGCGATGAGGTACCGTTTTCTTTTCACCTACAAAGAGCGAGATACTTACCCTGTAGTTCAGAGTCACATAAATTATCCCATCTTTTCCCTGCTGTTGACTCCGTTGAATGAGACCAGATGGATCAACACCACTCTTGTCGCCTAGAACATATCCACCGCCATAGAAATATACGATAACCGGAGCCAAACTTTCTTTAGGTACAGGGGTTCTGCCCTGAACTCGGTCAAATACTTTCTGTGGAACCACAACATCAAGGAAAAGGCAATCTTCCGAGATTCTGGGGTCTTGGACGAGTGGGACTGGGTATGAGGAGACATCTAGGGAGGCGCTAAACGTTGCATTCGTAAAGTAGCTTGTCAAAAACTGCGACATGATATATCTGCTCCATATCGGCGTAGCCTGTGGGCAAATCCTACCCACTGCTCCTGTCTGGACTCCAGCGCGGTTGACCTTAGGCGGCAACGGGGCTCGAAACCGTAGGCTTCCAAGAGGTGGGGCGGCGTATCTGATGTTACTGAAATTGTAGAGTCCGGTAGTCTCCTGCGGTAGTGTCAGCCGCTAATGCCTTGGTGTTGTGGTGAAATAGTGCCTTACATTTAGCGAGAATGCTTGATGGAGCTCATAACCTAGATCAACTACAGGCAGTGAAGAGGCCGCGCATATGTGCCAATACGTTACTAGGAAAAACGTAAGAGCGGAGATAGAAAGATCTATGATCATTGTAGCAGATCAAAGACAGAAGAGTGGCTAAGAATCAAGAAATATATCAATCGGTTAGCGGTATGGGATGAAAATATTGAAGTCGCTCTCATTAACCAGAAAGCAGTTTTCTTATACAAAGAGCTTTCACTTATCTAAATCCCTTAGCGGTAGTGAATTCACTGAACTTCAACGGAACTTCCCTTCAGTTTCCTCGGTATGCTAGACAGACAAGGGGAGTGATTCACTCACCCGGAAATAAAGGGTCCAATGGTCACATGTGCTCTATGAGGCAACTGTATCCTGGTTCCTAAGTTATACAGGTAGCTTCATGAACCAATAGTAACGTTATTATCTTGCCTGATCACGCCTTTGTGAAGCTGCCTTGCGTTGTCCCAGCATTAAGGACGATACACGCAACTGATCTTACTACCTGGATAGACGAGTCAGGTTGCCTTTAAACACGCTAAGGGCGTAAAGGGTTCTTCAGGACCTATGATGAATTAGCCCAGCTTGCAAGCCTCAATGCTTGGCTGGTCTGATTGTAAACAATCAGAAAAGAGAAGCCCCATCTTTGAAACACATGTTCAGCTACCTGTGTCACTAGTATGCCTAAAGTCACTGAAAGTTCATGCTTTACTTCTCCCAGTAATATCTCGTGTACCCCGCAGTAATTCTCCGAAAGCCCATAGAGGATATAGAGGAATCATTTTGATCTTTTTTGTAGGGAGCATTGCTCTACCAGAGTTGAACATTGTGGTACCAGAGGCAACTTGCCAATATCCTCCGGCGAGAAATGATGAGTGCAGTGAGATTGTCTCCTCCCACGTGATATGGTATATCAAAGGCCGATTAAACCCCAACATTGGACACAACATACTAAACCTCTTCTAGCTCCATGATTTAGATCCGAAGTCGCACCAAATCAATACTAGATCATGCTATAGATCTCCATTGCCTCATGACATCCGATACACACGGTAGCCAAAGCGGCTCGATGTTCTCTATCGGAACACACAGCCTCTTCCTCTCCATAGGCGGGGTCGCTCGTAAAACTGGAGAGCCGCTTGTTATCTTTCTCGCAGGCGCAGGAGACGTCGCCTCGTCATACGTTGCGGTCGAAAGACTCGTGGGTACATTTGCACCCGTTGTCCTTTATGACCGTTCCGGCCTAGGACGCAGTCAAGGTGGGCCTACGAAGCCAACGGCCACGGCAGCAGCCACTGAGCTGCATCAGTTGCTACACAGTGCGGATCTAACCCCTCCTCTTCTCTTAGTTGCTCACTCCTATGGTGGTATTGTTGCGCGCGAGTACCTGCACCTCTACCCGGAGGAAGTGGCCGGCATGGTGCTCGCGGATGCATCGACGGAGAGGCAAGCTGAGCTATTGGACGATCCAGATCTAGACATCAACGCTGTACTGGGTGACCTTAAGTTCAGCCAGGTCACGGGGTTACGCGATAGTGCTCGACTCTCTCGAGATGAGTGGAGGGCTCGTGCAGCAGACATTGCACGAGGAATCCCGACATCCCAGGCTGAAACTGCAGCTGCAATCGAAGTCTGTAAGACACTAGGGAGCAAGGAACAGTACAGGAACCAAGCATTAGGGGTTAGACCCCTGAGTGTAATACGGTGTCATGGCTCTCAAGACTACCGACGAATATATGAAAAGGGTGTGGGGGCGGGCAACGGTACTGAAGCGCAGCGGGCGGCCTTTCGCAGACTGCTCGACCGCTGGGACCACTATGATCAGCGTGCGCAGGGTGAACAACTCCGATTGTCGTCCAATAGTCGTCTTACCTACCTTCCTGACTGCGGTCACCATATCCACCTTATCCGTCCTGATGTAGTTGCGTTTGAGATCCAATGGGTGAGGGACCAAATATTGGAGAAAAGGTCAGCACAAAGGCTCTAGGGCTACAAGGCTCTTGATGCATGTAGAGCTTAAGTCTAAAACTGAATGCTTTACTGATAATGACATAGTAACCTTCCTTGGCGAAGTAACTGGTCTGACGGCGACAGTAAGATATCTGATTGATTGGGGAATTTCAGTCCAAGTCTTGTATTAATTGAATGGCATGAGCTACCGGTGAGGTAAATTAACATACAAGCCTTCCCTATCTATCTATCTATCTATCTATATTATAGCAATGAAATCCTTATTTCGTTTCTTTTATTCGCCACTCTGTTCTTATGCAATCATTCCTGATAGGTATATCAGCGCAACGATAGTCTCGAGTGATCGCTGGACTTTCATTTCATCTGTTAATTGCCTATCATCTATATCCTCTGTTTTACTTTTGTCCGTATGATAACCTGATGATCATAAAGTCGGCGCGTCCGGAAAGTATAACATGGCTTTGATACAGGAGAGTCAATCCTATACCAATCTCGACAAGGGCTTCTACCATGCTTTCACATGTTATCCTACTCTTCACATTAATTGAGATCATCGTTGGACATTAAATTAAAACCCATATGGAACACACTAGAGAAGATAATGTACTAGAGAAGGTATGTACCTGCAGAAACATAGGCCAAAACCACCCCTTACAAGAAACGGGGAAGCACTAAGCCCTTTGAAAAAAGATAGCTTAAGGTTCATACTTTGGGCCTTCGTTACTCCGAGGGTGTGCAAAAATAGCCCTCACTTCCGTTCCTCGGATATCTGGACCGTCGGATCTGACAAGTTTGACCCCAAAGTATACCAAGCTACTAAAGGTAGGGCTTCGGGATTGACGACGATTGACCCGATCAGGTATATCCTCCGGGGGCAAGTGTCTTGGTCTTTCCACGCGATTGGCTCATTGGGTAATGGTATGATTGTGGGTGTGGGTTTTAGTTCGATCGCGTTTGTGGAGTATTGCCAACTGTTTTTTCTTTGCCCTTTAGCTCTTCGGTAAAAGTCCCTAGCGTGAAGCACTGAAGAGGGGCTGAGGGGAAGAGCCCTTTTACGTGGGGATTTCTTTACTAGCTTCGGACGTGACAAGACTTATACTAGTAGAGTCCATCACCCGTAATTTCAGCTAGGCAGGAGATCGTTCATAGTAGAATCACCGTATATGCCATCGTCGTTCATAAATTCATATATATAAATATATTATACATCATAGTGCTATAGAGGGTATCATAAACTAAGCATCAACAACTTCAAGTTCATCCTGGCATCCTTCCCCCGGTGCCTCTAAGCTCTCCCCTAGAAAGAAGTCCAACTCGCTCGGACCCCCCTGTGAGTGCTCGTTTTCCGCTAGCTGCTCCAACAAGCTTAGGAATGGGTCCTTCTCGGACGAGCTTTGCTCACCTGGCCCCACTCCCGCCCCCGAGGCGCTACCCTGGGACTGAGCGTCTGGCGTCAAAGCTGTTCCCGGAACGGACGCTTCAAAGGGAAAAGTGGCGTATTGCGGTTGTGATGGCGGTGTGGGTGCGTTGAATGATTCGGAGAGGAATGCGGCTGGAGAGGTGTTTACCGCGGACGGAGAGAACCCGAGACCGCCGTCTGGAAGGCTCAGGTCGGGGCCAAGCCACGGTGAGGGTGATGGCTGAGGTGGGTTGAAGCTGATCGAGTTGCTTCGACCGGCTTGTGATGGGAGAGTTGGCGTAGCTGGTGGTATCGCCGGATAAATCGCTCTATTCCCGTCGTGGGCATCCGCGCGGTCAAAGCGGGCGCTTCAAATCACAGTCAGGTTGAGATCATTAAGGCTTAACAACAGAGAGAACTCACGGGTCATCTATATCCACTAATCTTACATGCGATCCTTCAACAGCTAATCCAGGATACCGATCGAAGAAATCCTCCAGATGGAAGACCGGCGCGAACCGCACCGGTCGCGCAGCTAATGTTCTCACCAGATCTGCATGGCATGCCGAAATGGCTTGCAGCATCTCGCGCTGATGCTGCACTCCCGAGCAGGAGTGACGCAGCCATATGAGCTGGTTCATCTCACGCGTAAGGAAGTCAGCACTCGATGCGAATACTTCACCTTCGCGGCCATTGTAATGAACGCCGTGAATGTGAACAGTACCAGCGGTGCAGACACAGTAAGCTATTAAGTCCGGCCATTCAATGCGCGGCGCATGGCGCGCCAGCTCAACCAACTCGGCGATAGCATTGGCATGCGAGAAACACAGTGTGGTAGCCTCAATCTGCCACGACTGATGCTGGCCCGTCCCGCGGAGCTCAGCGAGGTCAATAGGAAGAAACGGTCGATACAGCAGGCAATGGACTAGGTGATATATTAATTTGCTGAGAAGCAGAAGCGTGCTCTCTGGATGACCAAACAGGGCCTCGATTGAGGCGAATAAATCCTGCGTGCCGGCCGCCCAGATGTCAAGTTCCTGACGGATCTTGGACAAGTTGGAGAGAGCATGCCAGGGAAAGTGCGAGTCACCTTTGACACCGCCAGCAGCTAAGTAGCGGTGGGTAACGCCCAGGATTCGAGTGATGTCGACCAAAAGAGCAGCGGCTCCTGGGCCCTTGCGACGGTCGGATGTGAACTGAATGTTAGGACCGACCGGGTTAAACCATTCGCCAGTTTCCGGTCCAGCGGAAGGTAGTCGTAGCACGATGGAATGATCAGCGAGAAGACAGGGCCGCTTAGAGCCACAAGTAAGAAAGCGATCCATGGTATAAGCCGTCCAAAAGAGACGACGCCTCATCTCACGCTCTGCACTACGCGACGGGCTTTGAGCGGGTAGTTCACGATACAGGTCCAAAGCCAAGACCATAGCAACAGCATTGCCTATACATGTTAGTTATGGGGCAAGTATACTAGGGCTGGGATGCTTACTCAACGCCATGTAGGCCTTTCTACCATAACCATAAGCGAAAAAGGTCTGTGATAATAGGAGAAGAGTCTGCAACCCCTCAATAGAGGGATCATCAATGTCCACTAAGCGTCGAGCCTGGCGAGCATAGTCTAGACCTTGAGGAGAAGGGTTGAGAACGGTATATCTGCGCAATGTCAGAAAGCCTTCGAGAGGACAAGACAGGTTGTGACGGACCTTATCGTCAGAGCATGGATAGCCATGGATAAACACATGGGCAATTGTCCTCGCTGATGTAGCTGACGGGTGGCAGACTCATCCAAGATAAAGTAGGGCTTACCATGAAGTCGAGCAAAGTAAACGTCCAGCATCGAGTCAGGTAGCCTGTGACTCTGAGAAGATTGCTGAGGCGTCGGAGGTGGGGGGAATGTATGCGATGGAGGCGGAGGGTGAAAGTTCACCTGTGCCGCCAGTTGCTCCATTGACTTAGTAGGAGAGGCAGAGGAGGTGGGCGATAGGGGATGATTGTCATCCTGTAGAC